CACGCACCAATCAGAGTTGTTCACACGCGCAGACGCGCGAATTCCGAAGAATGTGCGTGACTTTATAAATCACAGAAGTAATGTGTGCGTTACGCTGTGGAGTTAGGGTTGAATTTATTAAGCTCCGTTTTGGAAAGACGCTTCGATGCGCTTCGACTCCGGGTATTATGAATTGGCCCTTAATAAAATATGGTTACTGTATTAGGAGCAACAAACCAGTGTCACAATTATTTTGCTTCGTCATGAATGTGACTGACTTAATATATTTCCACAGTTGTTTGGGATTGTTTCCGGATTGAGCTATTTGTGATTTATCGTATTCATTTTTTATACGTTTTAAGAGGTTATTGCAGAAATTACGATATCCTTTATATGTTGTCTGGACAATTAATTATTAGGGTTTTGTTTGGCTTTTCTGTGTAGTCTATCGCGGTGTCGTATACACCTGACAAGTCCCATCGTTATCCACGGTTTTATGGTGCAATTTTTCTTACTTAAGGTTATTGTGTTAGTGTTATTTAAGATAGATAGTTGTACGTGTTTAATAACATAATCCATCGATTCGTCAGCATCAGCAGAATCAAAAACTGGACTAAAGTCAATATTGCATAAATCACGTCCCAGATAGGGATTGCAATCCAGCGGCGTTTTCAATCCAGCGGAAATTTTGCTGGATTGACCTGAATCCAGCTGGATCCAGCGCGGATCCAGCAAAACGTAGAACGAAAATAAAAAGACGACATTTTTCAGACTTTTTTTATTAATTTGTACTTCTTACGATAATCTTTGAAATCTTCCACTCATTTGGTGATATCTTATATTGATTTGCTTTGGTTTTTTATTAATTTGAGATCAAAATAATCAACATAAAATTAAATAACAAACATATAACCTTATATTCATATAACATTTAAGATAATGTTTCTAAGTAAGCACTATCTTATTAATTACGCTTATGTTTAATGATAGGACGGCTAATCAGTAGCAATCAGTCTCACAAATTCTTTTAAAATTAACTTAATTAACATTATTTTAAAAAAGGACCGTAACAATAACACTTTTAATTTTCAAGAGTATTTTTGTATCAAACAAAAAAATCTTTGAAATAATCTTCTCCGCTCATTAATCCTTAATAATAAAGCAGTTTAAAGTCTGACGATAAGAGACTACTTCTTTTTTTGAATTCTCTGAAAGTAAGACCTTAGAAAACAAATTTTATCTATTGTCTTATCTCCCAACCTGCTTCGCACAGAACTGCATATGTAGCCGGCTGCTGAGAATGCCCTTTCGGCCTCTTTTAAGGTCGGGTTTTCGGGTTTTAAGGTCATTAAATACTCATAAACCATTGATAAATGTTCACCTCTCACTCCTTCGCTCTCATAAAAGCTCATTTCTTTTTTCAGGATCTTTTTGTAATCTAATTGACCACCTGGCTTTTGTTTATTACAGTTCCCCTTCTCTCTTTTAAGTTCTATCTCAAGCTCTAGCTCTAAAGTCATTTTAACGGGTTCTGCGTCATCATCTACACGATCTTCTTCTATCTCCATGGTATCTTCTTGCACCGGCTCTACAATATATTGTTTATTTACTCGTTTTAACAATGTTTTTATCTCCTGCCGCATCGCATTCTTTTTTGGCAATGGAAAATAGCCAGGTATTTTTACTGCTTCTTCATACTTTTTTGGATTTTTCAAGCAACCAACAAACACGCACTTCATATGCACTTTAGTGACACAAAGACACTTCCTATCGAGACGAGAGCAGTCATTCAACTCAAACTAAAATAAATAACTAAAATAAACAAACATAAGCGATACAGTTGGTAAAGGGGGCGGGCGGCGTTGCCTTCCATGCGGTACGTGCTATGGTGACAGAACGGCAACGTTGCCGTGCCGATTCGAAAATGACGGCAACTCAAAACTAAACAATAGAAATTGATACATTTGCGGATCCGCATCGCTGGATCAAGATATATGCTGGATCCAGCATGTTTAAAAAGGTGCTAGATCCAGCTGGATTGCTGTATGCTGGATCCAGCAATTGCAATCCCTAGTCCCATATTAATCATATTAAGTTTCGATTTTTGCTACGGACGCGAAAAATGTTGAGTCCGCTTTAATTCAAGCGTAAGCAAAATTGCGGAATGGTCTGTGATTGTTAAGTTAGTAACAAGTGTTAAACACGGAAGTCTAGTTTTTAGCATGACGTGATCCAAACATGACCCACTTTGATGAGTTGGAAATGTGTGTGAAGGTAAAATGCCATGATATGCACAGAGGTTTAGGTAGTCTTGAGTACCTGCGTCAATGTTATCAGAATTTATATTAATATTTAGGTCGCCAATTATGATGACAGTTGGAAAGGATGACAAATTTTGTAGAATATTATCTAATGACTTATTAAATTTATCTAAATTTCTGATGGAAGGAGATCTATAGATTGACACGATAGCTATTTCAGAGCCTATTTTAATAATCAAACAATTAAATCCCAGGTTTGTTGGCTCTTCGATCGAAAGATGGAGAGATTGTTTTGTATATATTACGATTCCATCATTATGGTTAAAATTTAGTGTAGAGCTAATGTAATTGCAACCTGATAATATCGGCATAATCCCATTTTTATTTGAAAGCCAACATTCTGTTAGTACAATGATATCGCACTGTGAATTTAATCTTTGCAGAAAGATACTTAAACTATCTATGTTTTTATATATGCTGCGAATATTTTGAGTTAGTATTGTTAAAGGACTTTTGAAATCGGCGAGATAATGTCTGCATTTTTCTGTTTCAGAAACTTTTGAGTAATATACTGCATTGTCATCGAGATCATTAATCAATTGTTTAGCCATATAAATTACAAAAATATTAATCAACTAATAGAAAATAAAATTAAAATATCTAAATATTACAAGTGCTATTGATAATATAAAAGGTGGCGCTCTTAGGCGCCCTCATTATAGTCAATAGAGTTAATGTACCTCGTTTCTGCTGTCTTCTTTGCCGGGCATTCAAGGTCCCCAGTTTTGTGACTGCTTGGCTTTTTGAACCGGGAGCATGTTGCACATTTTGGCGGCTTGTCCTTCTTAGTGCAATCTTTAGTCTCATGCCCTTGTTCTCCACAATGTCCGCATGTGCATGTAACTTCGCGACAAGTTTTTGCAGCATGCCCATATTGCTGATCGATTGCAATCGAATCGGACTCTATTGAGGTTGGACCACGTACGTGATGTAGCAACATCCTAAGATAAAAGCACTCTGATTGAGAAGGATGTACACCGTAGACTCTTCCTAAAGCGACATCTTTTTTTATACCTGGATGGCCAACTACGTCCTCACCAAGCCTCCTTCTTGTGAATTTATTACTGGCCCATGTGTAGTATTGCGGGACTTCGTGGTATAAAAGTGTCTTTGCGAATTCGTCGTCATTACAGAGCTCAAAGAACGCCAGCAGAGTAGTTTTACGTGTGTTATGAGCCTCTTGTTCAGCCGTTTCTAGGGTGAAATACACCCTTTGGCCGTTTTCTAAGTGGACAGCTAACTGTAAGACTGTAGGATGCCGCTCATGGATCGGAAATTCAAATATTCGCCACACAGCCTCGGATGTACTTATGTATTAAATTTTTAGAATAAAAAACCGCTTACTGTGACATAACTATAATATTTAGACATGCTGTCGCGACACTTTTTGTAGATAATGATGAGTTCTACAAAGTCCGTAGTAAATGATTTTGTTCTATCATCAATAGTTTTCGCAGCGCACGCGACGTAAGAAATTTTTCAGGTCATTTTTTTACACCTTGGGTTATATTATTGGAATTTTAGGAAAGATCCCTAATTATTTTTAAAATATAATATAGCCTATGTTACTCGGGGATAATGTAGCTTTCTAGAGGTGAAAGAATTTTTGAAATCGGTCCAGTAGTTTCGGAGCCTATTCATTACAAACAAACAAACAAACAAATCTTTCCTCTTTATAATATTAGTATAGATAATATTAGTTTTAACAGGACTTAGCATGAACCATTCATTTATTTATATCTGCTGACGTTTCGATGTAGTTACATCCACTGTGGTTGCGCATGACTAAAAAAAACATAAATGAATGGTTCATGCTAAGTTCCGTTAAGACTAATAATTATCTGTTTAAAGTGCGATAGTTTAAAAAACTAAATATTAATATCAGCATTATAAACACAAGATATATTTAATGTAATGTCAGTCTAATCTACCTACATTGCACTCTGTTTGATTAGTCTATGACAAACAATACAATATGGCGCGTGGTACAGTTATTCTATCTCACGAAGTCCTTTTGGCTTTCGTTGCGTGTGTAACGTGTACTGATATGCGTGCTTGTGTGCGTGAACGTGAGGAGCGTCAGCACGGAAATCTGATTTGACCAATAAATATATTTAAATTTTTATTTTTGAAAGTTACATTTAATCGGAATATTCCGAAACATTTAGTTACAATTTACGGGTAGTAAATAAAAGACAAATAATTTTAATAAGTAAGCATTTTAATTTAGGAAAGTACTACAGAGAAAAATCAATCACTATCTGATGAAATTTCAAAATCCGATTCGCTAGTATCAGAATCATCTTGCAAATTAATTATGAGTTGAAAATCTAGATCAAAGTATTTCAAATATTCATTTTAAATTTTTTCGACATGTTCACAGGCTTTACGCCACGTTTCACTATTTATTTGATCTAAGCTTTCATTGATCAGTCTCTAAGTACTCGTCATGGTTTGATCAATATTTCTGGATGCGATATAATTTTTTACAATCCCCCATATATTTTCGGTGTGGTGTGGTAGGCGTAAGACTTCAAACCCCTTGCTTTTAATAACATTATCGATTTTATAGGTTATGTGATCGCATTTATTTCTTTTTATAATATCGTACAAGGCCAACTTAACGAGAGATTCATCAAATGCTATACCTATATCTCTAAGCCATTGCTGCATATCTGCTTTCGTTGTAGCATACGTCGGTAATTTTTCGGCTCGTGTATTGTGATAAGAAGCATTGTCTAACACAATGACAGAGCGAGGAGGTAGGTTGGGTTAGGTTAGCTTTTAATAGGTTTTAATAGCTTCTCATTTAGCCATTTAACATAATTATCATAGCTCATATTTGAATGATAGTCGCCAGCTGTTGAGTTAGCCTTATAAACCAAAGCAGCATTTTCAATAAATCCGTCCTTTGTTCCCGCGTGCACTAATATGAAGCGAGTACCTGTGCAAATTTTTTTTAAAAATGGCGTGGTTTCTTCTTTACGTGCCCAAGTATTGTTTCGCACGTGTGTCGAAAGAACATAACTCTCATCAGTGTAGACAATTGGTCGACCTTGAGTGCGATATTCAGAAATATTTTTTAGATATTTATAACGCCACATTTGTATGTCATGACGCTCTGTCAAAACTTTTCGGTTGTTATCTGTTTTACGCCACTTATAACCTAACTTTAGTAATAACTTGCGAACAGTTTCTAAACAACCTGCAAATCCAATTTTTTCATGTAATACTTTTTTAATTTTAGATAATGTTGGAATTTCTTTATGGACGATATGGAAATTTTGTATAGTACTTCGAACAACATCGGCTGTAGAATTGTCTATTTCTATCTTATTTTCTCGCTTTCTTCTTTTCTTCATAGGAGAGGTGAATGTTGATGATGTGGATGGCAATTCCTTCTCTTCTTTTAATATTCGTTGGAAAGTTTTTGTAGACACACCTGTAGCTTCTGCTGTACGCCGCGTGATATCTCGTAAATGAGACAAATCACAGTTAGGTTCCATATATGTTTTTGTAAATTCATACTCCTGTCGCAGGAAATGATAAACACTAGCTATCATGCTCCGACCCTAAAACAAAACCAAATACATTTTCTCAGTAATATATTGTTCGCGACGTATCTAAAAATTCTTATTGTTGTGTCCAAACTTAACGTCTAAAATCAGTGAAACAAGGTGTCCACCACGAACATTGCATAAAACAATACAAAAATAATGAAAAGTCGTAAAAACAACGTAAAACTTTTAACGGCAACTTACATGTTTCTACCTACATGGTATAAAAATTAACCTATTGTATGTAAAAGAATATAATTTTACAATTACTATAGTCATTCTTATCAGCGTGGGTGATATATGATAAAAAGTTAAAATAAATCTTACCTCACTATGAACAACTTTCCGACGTTTAGTTTCCATGCTGACGCTACTCCGTGAAACAATTTGGCGCGAACTCAAAACACGAGTGACATCGACCGCGTTGCGATCGTGACTGAGCGCTCCCGCGCTTACGCACACTAAAGCGTTTATATACATGCACGCCTGACAACATTCATAACGAAACGGACTTCGTGAGATAGAATATCTTTAATTATTTAATTTGAAAAACAAGGAAATTAGTTTACTTACCGATGAAAAGTTATTCCTTTGCACTTTGCCGTGTTCCTTGAATTATTAGTACGATATCTCAACACACACCAAGGCATTTTTCGACGATTTTTTCTGTGAATTAAATAAATTATTGTCGGAAGTATTAGGCGTGAAAGAGCAAGAGAGCAACTGACTGACGTGCGGCGACGGTGCGGCGCGATCGCCGCAGTTGAACGAGACAAAGTAGGAATTTACGGTGTCTTCTCTAGTACGTTAGTACTTATATCTCGATGGTTTTAGCGCAAAATTTTTGGTGCGCCGGCCGCCCACATGGCCTGCCGCAACAAATAAAAAAATGAGTAATAGCTTGCTGCACTACAATTTACGTGTGCGGCCGGCGTCCGGCGTACCGCGTACCACATGGCGGTGAGAGTGTAAATGTTTTAAGACAAACCTGTTGTCGAGTAATTAATGTATTATCTGCTGGTATTGGTAAAAAATACTTAGTCGTGAATTGTCTTCTAGATGGTCCCTGTGTTGTGAATATTTTTTTTATTATTTTTTCTGTGAAGTCATTGATAAATTCCCATTGTCTGGTATGAACGGCAAGTTCCCAAATTTATTAATAATGTTTTTACGAATGTCTGTATCAAATTTTTCAGAACATTTCATTTTGCATGAAGATGAACAAACAGGACGCTATTCTTTTTTATTTTTAATCTTTCCATTTCGACTTACGTATTGTTGACCAGAGTTTAAAAAATACTTTTGTCTTTCTTTTCTGTTTTTTTACCGGGGTTAGTTTTAAAAGTACGCTTCCTTTTGTTTGCTATGTTGCTACATGGAGAATATCATTCCGATACAACATATATGAATCTTCACTTGATGTAGGCTCAACACAATTTTCATCTAACTGTTCTGAAGGCACGGGTTCCTGTTCTTCATTAAGCGGAGGAGATGTGGAAGGTATGGGAGACCCAAAGTTTGACTTACGGGAAGGTACTGGAGTTGTTTCCCTGCTGTCAATGATAACAGATGAACTTTGCTCTGGACTTTCTTCGATGATTACCGAATTGCATGGTCTTGCATAGGAGGTGTTAAAACTGTGGAGCTCCTCTTGCGCTACATTTCTATTCGAGGAGAGTTCCTCATCCACCAGCTGCTTTAAGTTGTTCCAATCGGATTCAATAGGGGCACAGCTCGCGGATAGCGGCGACTCTTAAAAAAATGTTTAAATATGAATATGTAATAAAAATACACAGAATATGTAATAAAAATAAATAAAATGTCATTAAAAATTAAACATCACTAAAACCAAACAAATAAATGAAATTTCATCAAAAAAAATTAATATTTCATTAAATAATCCAGGTTTTCATATAGGACTGTTTTTTAATGCCTACAGTTTGGACGGGAAAGAATAAACACTTGTGTGAGTGGTAAAACGTATAATAAAGAAAGAAAATAAATGGAGTACACGACACTATGTTACTACACGACAATATATATATTAGAAACTGGGAAATAAAACAACATTGAGCGACGCGAAAAGACACGTTTTGAGACCACGCGCGACATTAGCTGGTTCTCACGCGCGGCTCCTGCGTCGGCGTCGACTACTAAAGTAACGGTCGTTCGGTCGCACCACGCCGCCGATGAGATGGCGCGTTTTATACGTACGTCTGTCCCGCTCTTAAGCCTCAAGTGCGTAGTCACGGAAACGAGCGGGAATGCAGGCGTGGCGGCGTCCGGAAGTCCGTGGGTCAATTCGGCTTGCGACAGACTCCCCCTCTAGTTCTGGAGAGCGTCCTCGCTCCGGGACTAGGTCAGGGCTCTGGCATTTCGGACGTCCGCGACGTCGTTTGGGAAGAATAGGATTGGGTGGTACGTTACTATCTAGACCACTGTCCACGAATGGCGTCAAATCCTGAGCATGATACTTCCCGAGGGATTCAGTTGGATTCTCAATTGGAGAGATAATGTAGGTGGTAGGGCTAACCTTCTCGGTAATCACATATGGTCCATCACGCTTGGGAAAGAATTTGGCTGTTAGGCCCTTGCTTCCTTGACTCAGAGCATGAGTTTGGACTAGAACCTTATCCCCTACCTTGTAACTTTGACTTGGCCGACGTGATTGGTCAGCGACCCTCTTGGATTGATCTTGCTGAACTTCAACTCTTTCACGAACCGCAGATAGATTAGAAATAAAGGTCCTTAAGTAAGGCATAATTTGAGACAGAAAGTTTTCCTTATCCAGGATGGCTCTCAAATCATGACGAGCTTTGGTGGGCGACTTGACTTTAATTAACCTTTGTTTCTTTGTATTAATTCAATTAAAATATTATATATTAATATTTGTACGCCAAGTAAGGCGAAACATAGTGTAACTAAACCTGTTATTAACTTATGAACATCCATGTAATACCACCTATGTTACAAATAAATAAATGATTATGAAAAAAATGATTACGACCTCATTTCTCTGGCAAACATGAGATAAGCTGGAGTGGCACCAGTGGTTCTGCAAACGGCGCTATTGAGAGCGAACCGAATCACCGGAAGCTTCGTTGGCCAGGAACCATGGTCATTCTCCACAAGTTGCGCCAGCTGCATCTTTAAATCACGGTTCTTACGTTCCGCAGGGTTTGCTTCTGGATGGTAAAGTGGTATGAGGTTCTGTTTAACCCCTAAAATAAACATGCATTGTTGCATGACCGCTCCGACAAATTGCACGCCGTTATCGGATGTGACCCTGCGCGGCAAACCGTACCGAAGAAAATATTCTTCAGTAAGAATACGTGCACAGGCTTCAGCAGTCGCCTCCTGAAGGGCAAAAAGTTCTACTCACCTCGTAGCGGTGTCTTCTACCAGAAGAATCCACCTCTCACCGTTTTCACCGTCGGGAAAGAGGCCGAAAAGGTCTACAACTTCATTTCGCTGCTGCATCACTGGCGTTTGGAGGAGTCCGGGAGGTTTATTATTTAAGGCTTTGTATCGTTGACAATGGACACAAGCCTTTACATAGTCTGCAACTGCCCTTCTCATCCCTGGAAAATAAAAAGACTGAGCGATCTTAAGGTAAGTGCGATCGATTCCGGAATGTCCTGCTAAGGGGGAATATGTAACGATATCAGCATGTCAGCCAAATCAACGCCGCCCATATTTTTATTGTATTTCCTGACCAATTAAGTAAAGGCATCTGACATGATTTCAGCGCCCTCCTCGGCCGAGAGATCTCTGCGAGTGAAGTCTCTGGCTTGGGATGCAAATAATGAACATAAAAAAGTTCCAATCCGCACCCTTAGTCTTGTACCTAAAGCTATCATTGCAATATGTTGGACCCTGGGGTAATGTTGAAACAAATTCGTACACGATCAGGCGATGATCACTACACGACGCATCTGGTAGGACACGCCACCTATCCAAGCTAACGTCCGCACTAGAAAGTGTGACGTGTGATTGTCAATACAAGATTCGCCCATTTGGCTACAAAAAGTAGGTGGTGCATCAGGGGTGTTATGAATGGAGAGATTCATTTCAGCAATGAATTCCTCAACAACACAGCGCCGTTCCATGTCAGTAGCCCTAACCTTGCCATACCACAAGGATGAAGACGCGTTAACGTCGGCACCAATGATAATTTTGGACCCCGCAAGTGATTGCAAGACGTGACGGAGGTGGTGAATATGAGGAATAACTGAATCAGAATATTGAAAGTAACAGCTCACGACGTAAAGTTTACAATTTCCCGAAACAATCTCCTCGACGGCACAGTGTGACGTCATTAAATTAGCTATGAATGTTACTGTGAAATTAGGCGATCTCGTGACATAAATTCCAGCCCGCGACCTGACATCCAGCTGCACTACCCTGTGCCGTAAGTGGGTATTTTGATATTGTTCTTGAATAAGAACTATGTCAAGTTGATAATCGACAATTAATTTATCTAACTCAGACGTCGCAACCCTATCGTTATGGAGATTCAACTGCCCTATAGTTAACTTATCCATACTTTTATTTAATAGGTTCTATTGAGAATAAGTTGTTTAAGTTTTGTTTTATAGGTTCCACACTCTGGCGAGCCACAACGGTGATCATGAGGTTTCTTAAAACGTTTACACGAAACGCAAGTTGGAATAAAATTAGTTTCCTTTACACGTGGGCAGTTGTCGCTTTCGTGCGCTTCGGCGCAATTACCGCAAGTAGGCGTCTTTGCAACACAATGCTTTCTCACGTGTCCGAACTGCTGACACAGATGGCACCTGACTACCTCGACGTCATCGATAAAACGGCAGGTAGCCCAATCGATAAATAATTTCTCTTTAGTTGACCCGAGATGTTTCCGTATGCTGGTATCAATTTCAATACCGATCCATTTACGACCGTTTTGCAAAGTACGTCGGCGGGTAATTTTACATGACTTGATAAAATCCTCCTCTTCGATTTTAAGTTCGCCGTTAATATTTTGCCGATATAATGAGGTCAAAAACGCGTTGTCTTCCATCGAACCCGGGACGTCATTGACCAGGATACGCGGTCTACGGCCCTTTGGTTTTTCCAAGCGCAAACCGGCGGAACGAATCGCAGACACGGACTCGAGCTTCTTAATTTGTTGTTCGTTAGCTACACGCAGTACGACACCCGACTTTGCTGTTTTCTTGACCCCTACGATTTGGAAACCGTCGTCGCACGGTTTGATAGCTTTCATGAGCGCTTTCTTAGTCGCTGACGATGACGTAAAATCAGCTGAGCGCTCGGACGTGGGGTAGGCGACAACACACGGAAGCGGCGCGCGGGAGGATTCCATCGCGGGCACGACCTTGGGTAATCGAAGTTTCAAAGTTTCGGCGTAGGACACTTTATTGTCCTGGTTGTTTACTAGTTGGTTAGTTTTGACAAGGGAGGGTGTAGATTTTATTTTGTCCAATTCGCGTT